AAAAACCAATTGGATGGAAGTACATTTGCAAGTAGTCAACCGATTAGATTCAAAATGTCCTGATTGCTCACTTGAGGGGGGAGTGTTAGAGTGCAACCCACATTGGAAGTCCAAGAGTAAAATAATCGGTATATAAATTCTCGAGTTGGACTAACTAATCGATTGGATTCAATCTTTTAATATTGTTCAACTCAAGTGCCTTGTGGCCCAGCTCGGTAATCCCTACCTCATTCTAAATTGTACGTAGTATCACCTAATGTGATCAGATTTTTTTAAAAATCTAGTCTGATTTGATTATAATTATTTTTAAAATTGGTTCTGACCTGATTTGATAGCGCTTTTCATACATTTCAATCATACTTTTTTTTAATACCAATGTTATACTTTTTAACATTTTTCTTGATTTTCATATTTGAGTGTGTGGAGACTTGTGCCCAATTAGTCTCAAAGGTCAAAGATTGAGATTCAATTTTTTCCTCTATTTTTGGGTGGGAGCGGATAGTTGAGTCCGGGAAGATTTGAACACAAATTGGATGCAATGGAAGTGTCCGTCCGAGACATGACCATTCCATGTGCATTGAGCATAGACATTAAAAATAGGTAAATATGGTCATTAATTTTTTGTCTGCCCATATTTGGATTATAAATTTTGTAGGTCAATGATATGGGCCAAATCAAATGCTCCCACTGTCCGATTTTATTTTTAACTACTTAACGAAATTACTTTTTTAGCCTTTAATACAAGATTTCAAATATTACCAAGAAATATCTACTCTATATTTCCGTTACATAAAAGTTTTAAAGATGAAAAAGACGTGCTTTAAAAATGTACGAGTATATATATTTGATATTATTTTCAAATTATGACTCATCTATTCTATGCACCATATTCTACCTTATTATAAAGTATTGACAAAGTTAGAAAATTAAACCAAAATTATACGGAGTACAATTTTAATGCGCGTCTTTTTTGTCTTTGAAAAATTTTATACAACGGTGAAAGTATTATGCTTCCTCTGTCTCTGAAAATTTTTCTTCTTCTTTTTTTCATCCGTCCCAAAAAACACTTTTTATTTCTATTAAAAAAATCACTTTTACTCCTTATTTTTTCATAACTAACCTATCACATCATACCTTTTTACTAATAATCTACCTATCAAATTCTACTTTTACGCATCACATCAAAAGCCTTTTTTGGAAAATTTAATACCAAAATTTACCTCCCTTAAATCTCTTAAAATCAATAACTCACATGCATGTTTTAGGATCAAAGGGAGTATATAGATATACTTCATCTCGCTTAGAATCATTGTTCCATTTTGATTTTTTAATCCAACGGTGATATTTTTCGACAATAAATTATTAAAAATATTTAATTAGTTATAATTATAATGTCCACACCATAGTTAATATAATTGAGTTTACTTTAAGATATAACTTTAATACAAAATTTTTTACATGATTTATTTAAACTTATGTTTAATTTTTGGTCAATAAGTGTTACTGTTTAACTTAAAAAATAAAATGGGGCAATAATTTTGGGAAAAAAGAGACATAATATAAAAATATGATATTCCAAAATATATTTTAAAATAAATTTATTGATACTATATTATATCTATATTATTACATTTTATGTTTTATAAAGAGTACATATTATGATCAAAATTTTAAAATATTGACCAAGGAAAATCAAATACTCATAAATTTTCATTTTAGATATGTGGAGTAGTGGGAAAGAGTATTTCTTTGGTCGACATAAGATATACACTTACTACAACATTTTTTGTGGATATTCTAGCATGAGAAGCAATTTTTTTTTAAAAAAAAAAAACTTACCACCATCATATTAAAGTCCATCTAAAATGATGTGAACTTTTGGTCCATCATAACATTTGGAAGTTAAAGAAATAGGTTATGGACTTATGGTCCATCAAAAACACTACTTTTAATACTCTGTAACAAACAATATAATCGGAAATAATTCCACTAAAGACCCTAAAGTTGCTGCAAAACTCATGTTATAACCAATATTGATTTTTTTAATTGCATGAGTCAAACTGGAACTGATCGAAGTGTTCTTTTTTGATGGAGTTTTGTTAGATGGGCCAATTTTGGGCTAACTTGAAAATCACAATTATTATTTGGTACCGATAGATGGGGCTAGTGTTTAGTAAAAGATTAGCTAGAGGACCACAAGTACTAATTAATTGGGTATGGTGTTGTTTAATTAGGACAACATCACAAAATTCATATGTAGCATTTGTAACTGGTGTTAATCAGTGTTGTTTAGTACAGCATCACAAAAACGCAACCATATAAATGAGTGTTTAATCACAATTATTGATTTGTTTTTTGGGGGACATACAAACTGACCGCTAACCCTAAGCTTTTATACTCCATCTGTTCTAAAAAAGAGTTCCTATTTTGATCAAGTGTAAAATTAAGGAATTGTTAAATTGTACTCCATCCGTTCTCAAAAAGAGTTCTTACTTTTACTTTGACGAAGTGTAAAAATAAGGAAGTGTTAATTTGTCGTTGACTTCTAATTTTGTCCTTGATGTGATGAGTAAATATAAGATGTGATAGATAAATTATTAGAGAAAAAGTATGATGTGATAGGTAGGGTATGAAAAAGTAAGGACAAAAGTGGTTTTTAATAAAAAAAAAATGGAAGTGTTTTGTTGAAAGTGAAAAAAAAGAAAGAGGAAGTGTTTTTGAGAACGGAAGGAGTAGTTGACTTCTAATTTTGTTCTTGATGTGATAGGTAAAAATAAGATGTGATGCATGGATAAATTATAAGAAAAGAAAATATGATGTGATAGGTATGATATGAAAAAGTAAGAGTAGAAGTGGTTTTTAAATACTTCCTCCGTCTCTAAATAGATTACAAATTGTGGGTTACGAAAAAAAATTTCTACTTTTTGAAATCATTTTATTTACAAATTTATATATCAATAAGATATAAAAATTACATATTAAAAAACTACGTCAAAAGTTCTACAAAACAAGAGGTGACAAGAATATTTTATTTTATCAAATACTTAATGAAATCGCGTAAACAAACAAAAATTATCGAAAAGAGAGAGAGAGAGAGAAAGAATTGTAATCTATTTAGGGACGGTGAGAGTAGAAAGTGGAAATGTCTTGTTGTAAGTGAAAAAAATGAAAGATGAAGTTTTTTTAAGAACGGAGGGAGTATCTTTTCTTAGCACCTAACATCCCTTGCCGCAAGCTTTAACGTTTTAAAAAAATTATCTAACGGTTGCATTTAATTTTAGTAATTTCAAATTCCTCTTTTTAGTAGTACGTGTTCTCAAAAATTAATTTGTACGATATTATTAAAAATATTCAAAACACTAACGTTTATTAAAAATGCTACATGTTTCGAAACAATACTGTATGTCACACTATCATAGCATATATAATATGAACAACGACCCGGTTCTTGTGACACCGGAGAACGCGGTGGCAATGCATTTTTATCTAAGTGGTTTGAAACACTTCCTGTTCTTAAATAGATGTAAATAAGAACTTTTAAATACATTAAAAATGAATGAGTGCAAGCATGCATCATATCATATATACATTCTTTCGATTCATAACAATATTTCACTTTCAGTTTTTAGTTTTCCAGGCTCCGGTCACAAAATACTTTCATTTTCTATTAAAAAGCTAGTAAAGATAAAAGTTTTTTTTAAATAGAATGAAATTGTTTTTTTGGGACGCATAAAAATGAAAGCAAAAAGTATTTTTAGAAACTGAGGGATACTTTAAGGATATACTCACTACAAATCATATACTCACTCTGTTTCAAAAACACTTTCTCCGTTTGACTTTTATGGAATTTTAAGAGATTTTTTTTTTGTTTTGACGTTCCAAAATTATCTTTGATGTAATAGATAAAAGTATATTATGATATGTGGATTAATAGTGAATATATGTGATGTGATACGTATGATAAATTATTAGTAATGATAAAATTAAAATAACTTTTAAACGATAATAGAACGAATTCTTAGTATAGAAAAAAGGAAGAAAGAGAAAACACCTTTTAGGGATAATGAAGTACTCCCTCCGTCTCCCTAAGATCTTTTCATTTTGGTTTTTTGTGGTTTTTAAGCAGAGTTGAAAAAAGGTGAAAATTTACCAAAATATCCTTAATAAAAATGGGTGAGGTGTATTAAATAAGGTAGAAAAAGTGTAATAAATAAAATAAGTGGAGGTAGGTGTGATATTTTAAATGTTAAAAAAGGTAATGAGAAGATCTATGTGAGACAAATAAAATGGCTAATGAGAAGATCTATGAGGGACGGAGGGGTATATTACTACTAGTCTACTATACATACAAAATTGCGAGTGATACTATATATACCAATTGCTTAGAGCATCTCCAACCATGTTTGTTATATGAATTTGTTATTTTTTACATTATAGTAAGTGAATAGTGATATAACAAACACTTTTTTATTTCATTTTCCAACTATAATTTGTTATTTTATTTTTTAAAGTATTGACTTGCTAAAGTTTGAGGGGCTTGTTATATTTAGCAAGCTAAAATAATTTTTTGAAAAACTTACTAAAATAAAGCAACCCTATAGAGGAGAATAAAAGAGTTTAGCTAGTTATATTATAACTTTTAGCAAGCAAAAATACTATAATTAAGAGAATATTTTAGGAGGAGAATGAGACATTTGAGCCTGAGGCCCAAATCATCTCTCTCGTCCACATAAACTTAAAATCTTCGTTTATGTCATATAATACTATTTTTATTTTAGAAAAAGTTTCCAACTTGATTTTTTGTTAGAATATGACATTCTTTAATTATAAATAAAATATTTATACAATTTAAATAAATAAATATTATAAAAATGTGAAATGTCCAAACTCCAAAAGGCCCGCGGAGAAGGGTGGGGTGAGAGAGAGGAGGGGGTATTAGGCTATTAGCTTTACTCGTCCAAACTCCAAACCCATTGGTTAGGTTTTGGGTGGGTGGGTAGGATACCCGGAATTGCCCACCCTGTCATCTACTTCCCTCGCCCAATTTATATGTGGACCATTTTTGTCTTGTGTCTGAGAAGGAAGCCGCCTTTCATAAACCCCAAAAAAATAAAAATAAAAATAAAATCCTGTATTTATCAACTCCATTTCTTTATTTTCTCTTCTATCCCGTCGCCATAAAAAACACTTGAATAATCTTCATCTTCGTTTTTAATATTACAATCGAAACTCAATAATGGCGTTAGTACCTTCAGAACCAAATGCCAAAACAACATCAGTTAAAACCATCTCGTCTTTCTTGAACAGCTACGACGACGACGACGAAGACGACGAAAGCTTCGAGTTCAAGATTGACGAAGACGGAGAAATCTGCGTTTTTTCCGCAGACAAGTATTTCAACGGAGCGCTGGAGCCGCCGCCCCTGCGCCGAGAACACTACCCTGTGAATTTTCGCAACCGTGGGTCCCCTCCACCTCCTCTTCCTCGTCATCAATCTCATCATCACCATTCGCCGATGAAGAAACCACCGGGAAGCCGGCCAAGAACTCCAAGTGTCCGGTCTGAGTCAAGCTGGAACAGCAAAACCCACCTCCTGCCGCCCAAAACTCCGGAAACCCGTCCTCTTCCTCCGGCGGATAGCTCCGGGAAACTCCGCCGGAGGAGTTTCTTGTCCGCCATTGCCTGCAATCATTGCTTCTGCAATGGCGGGAGCTCTGTCGAAATTGATGAGAGTAAGAACAGAGAAGCCAATCCCAATCCCAATCCCAATCCCAAGCATTTGCAGATCAAGAATTCCCCTGTTTTTAGTTCCCCGAAATCCGGCACGAGAATGGCCGCCGATTGGGGTGAGATCTTCGACGAAGATGATGACGACGAGTACGACGAAGTAAGAAGCGAAGCCAGCTCGGACCTATTCGAGATCGAGAGCTTCCAGGGCGGGAACCCGAACCCGTTCGACCGGCCCATCGGCGTCCCGGCGAGGACTTCATCGCACGCTCCGAGCGAAGCCAGCGTCGAGTGGAGCGTGGCGACGGTTAGTGCCGCCGATTTCTCGGTGGCTTCGGATTCCGAGGAGCCGAAAATGGTGACGTCTTCTTCCTCGTCATCACCGTCGCGGCTTAATAAGGGGCGTAGTAGAACGGAAAAAACGAAAAACTCGCCGAGACGGATTGTGCCTGGGATTCTAATTCCTACGGGGTGTAGGAGTGAGAAGGCGGTGGGAGTTGCCGGAGATGCGTACAGAAGAACTGTACCCGGCGGTCGTCGGAAGAACCAAAGTTCAGAGTCCCCTTTTCTCCCGCCATTGAACAGGGTACGAGGCGGCGGCGGCGGTTTTGGTGTCGGATCCTTCTCTGCCGCCATCTCAACTCATAGCCAACCCCATATGCTCTTCATTTAGTCAATCTTGGATTTACAAGTAGAACTTTGACATGATTTTAGAACTTAGACCAAATGTTCTACTTTTCCAGTGTTTACAATCGAGTTAAAAAAAAATAAGTTTATGTACACTTAATAAGTTAATATTGATTGTACGATAAGTACCTGTTTATTGTTTCAATTCCACTGTTTTTGTTTTTTGTTTTTTTGGGGGTTAAGTTTAGATATTTTATACTACATCCGTCCCAAAGTATTTGTCCACTTTCATTTTTACACATCATCCAATACACTTTTTTAATCCATTTTATCTTGAAATTTGTATATTAAAAAATTATAGAAATTATATACTCCGTATTAATAATCTATATGTTAAGACAAATCAAACAAGATCACACATAACTATATTTAGACTTACATATTGAGAAAATTTGATGAGTCAAAGTGCTTAGATAAACAGTTCCAAAAATCAAAACTGGACGAATACTCCGGGACGGAGGGAGTATGTCTTTCTTACTTTTCTTTTGTGGAGTAACACTTACACTATGTTTGGTTCAAGGAATTTAAAATGGAAATGAAAAGAAAATGGGATGGAAAATAGTTTTTCTTGTTTAGATAGAGAGGAAAAGAAAAGAAAAGTGGAAGGGAGAAAAATGAAATCAGAAGACAAAATATATTAAGATGAGAGAAAATCAAATTTCTTCCATTTTGGTGAGGAAAATGAGAGAAAATCATTTCCTTTTCTTTTTCCTTTCAAAATCCTTGAACCAAACATAGTGTTAAAGAAAGTTGTGAATGTCTTAATATCTGATACAATTTGATAGTAATTACTCTTAATATATAGTAAGAATTACATCAGTATATAAAAAATTAACAAAACAATCTAATCAAAGCAATATAAAAATTACTCCATATTGTATAAATATAAATATACTCTGTAGAAAGTAAATAATGAAGCATAATATTCTATTCTCTCCGTCCATAAATCGTTTATTCTTTACGTAAAATGAAGTAAAATTTTAAGTTTTTTAATTCATTCTATTTAAAGATTAATATATAAATAAAAAATAAAATTTACATATTTTTAAAAAATACATCAAAAGTTTTACAAAACAAAGGTGACAAAAATATTTTATTTCATCAAAAAGTCAATGAAAATACAAAAAATAAATAAATGTTCCTTCAATTTTTGAATATTAAAGTATGTAAATCATTGAGGAACGGAGGGAGTAATTCTTATTATTCCTAATATTCTCCACAAGTTGACAATCAGTAAACGAGATGCAGCTTTAACAACAAGTACTGGAATGTAACCGATAAAAGTAGTTTCGAGATAGCCGCTAGAAGTAGAAATGTGGATTTGACGTGGGTTGAAATACTTATGTAATGGCTCACACCACGTCTGCACATGCTGATGTGGCAGGGCGTGGCAATGTTTTTGGATCGCTGGTGTTCTAAATTTATTGACTCTTCATAGTTTTATTTAAAAATGAATAAGCAATGGGCATTGGGCAAAATATGAGCATTGGGATAACTTAAGTATTCATGGCTCCATCATCGAGATTAATAATGAGATAAATGTTTGAGTTTGCTTTTTAGCAATTGCCCTGGAAGGTAATAAATTAGACATATGGAATTGAAATTCGTTTTAGTCCATGTAAGTGCACTCACAAGTCTATTTGGTCCTTGTAAGTTTGGTTTAGTCAAATTAGTCCCTATAGCTAGAAAAAGTGAATCGAATTAGTCTTTTATGCAAAATTTATATTCCAAAATTACAAGTTAACATGTTACTTAACACAAAAACTAATGCACGAGGTCATTGCTCTTGCGTCAATTAACGTGATAACTCAAAACTTTAGGAGACAAATTGTGTTCAAAGTAGGGCTGGGTCCGGAAAACCGAAAACCAAAAAGCGAACCGAAATCAATCGAACAATACCAAAAAAAACCGTATCGCAAAAAAACCGAAACCGAATTCAAAAAACCGAACCGAACCGATTGCATTCGGTTTCGGTTGCGGTTTTGGAGATCTAAAACCGAACCGAACTGCTAAAAACCGAAACATGTAAAGTTTAATTAGTTTTAGACTTTTAGGCTTTTCCGCTTTTATCACTTTTGCTTTTTAGGTTTACGCCATTACCTGTAGTCAAGTCAGACTCCTCCATCGAAGAGACAGCAATCTTCCTCGATGGAGTCGCTGCGCTCTTCAGATCTCCAAACTTCTTTGCTGCGCTCCAAGTCTCCAACATCCAACTCGCCAGTTCGCCACACCCGCAGTCCAACTCGCCACAATCGAAAGTGAATCAGAGTCCCTACTCGCCACTTCGCCACAATCCCTGGGGGGCAATTGTCGCCACAATCTGAAATTAGACTCCTCAATCTCTAGTTTCTTGACTTTATTTCTTCTTCAATTCAGCCGCAGAAGGTATGAAACATATATGTTCTTTAATTTTATTTATCAAGTCATTCTAACAAATGTTTGGGTAATTCTCCAGCAAATGTCCGGGTATGAAGCATATGTTTTTTATTTTTTTTCTAGCAAATGTTTGGGTATGAAGCATTTGTGCTTTAATATTTTTTTTAATGTTTGGATAATTTTCCAGCAAATGTTTTGGATATGCTTCGGGTATATCCTTGAAATGCTGTGTTTTGGGTTGATACTTACAGTGGGGGTGTGTAGTGTTTTGGGTTGATATTTACAGTTTTTGGACATATCTTTGCAGTTTTTTGAATGACACATTTTTTTATTGGTCAATGCGGTTTGGGACTGTGAATTACTACATTTCTTCCAGTTTTTTACTGCATTTTTACAGTTTTCACTGCAAATTACGGAGTATTTTACTTTTAAATTCTTTTTTTTAAAACCGAAAGAATTGAAAAAAACCGAAAATTAAACCGCTAAAAACCGAACCGTATAACAATTGGTTTTCTCATTTTTTATACAAAACCGAACCGAACCGTACCGCCAATATGCCTTCCGTTCTGTCTTTGATTTTAGGTTAAAACCGAACCGTTAAAACCGAACACACCCCTAGTTCAAAGGACTAACTTGATTCACATTTTTTATGTATATGGACTAATTTGACTCAAAGGAACTTACAGTGACCAAATTGAGTCATGAGTAAACTTAGAAGGACCAAAATGACTATTAACTCTAAACATATGATATTAGCAATTACCAGGTGACCATTCAGCCGGTTCAATTCTAGACCATCTTAGGAAAAAAAGAGAAGCTTCATCCTCGAGGGTTGCATTGGGCCTAATATGAGCATTGGGTTAACTTAAGTATTCATGGCTCCATCCCCGAGATTTAAAATGAGATTAATGTCCGAATTTGATTCTTGGTAACTGCGCTCGAAGGTAACTATATTAAATATATGGAGTTAATATTCGTTTTAGTCCATGTAAGTGCACTCATAAGTCAATATGGTCCCTGTAAGTTTAGTTTAGTCAAATTAGTCATTATAACTAGAAAATGTGAATCAAATTAGTCCTTTATGCAAAATATATATTCCAAAATTATAAGTTAACATGCTAATTGATACAAAAATTAATAAATGAGGCCATTGCTCTTGCATCAATTAACGTGATAACTCAGAATTTTAGGAGATAAATTATGTTTGAAGAATTAACTTGATTCACATTTTTATATAGAGGGAGTAGTTAAATTGACTCAAATGAACTTACAGTGACCAAATTGAGTCACGAGTAAACTTAGAGGGCCGTGACCAAAATGACTACTAACTCTAAACATATGGTATCAGCAAGTACTAGGTGACCAGCTCAGTTCTAGACCATTTTAGAAAAAAGAGAAGCTTAATCCCCGAGGGCTGTCTCTTCAGAATTGGTCGGCCGATTGATCACTTGAGCAAAGACAAATTGAATTTTAATCACTTACTAAAAAAACTACTCAAATATGGTAAAATATGCAAAACATCATCTTAGGAAACTTTAAAATATGCATATATGGTAATACTTAAAAACAACACTGAATCTCCATTTGATTCCAATCAAATCCCATCCATAATCCATTTACGGGGAGTACGATCGGAATATACGATTAACTTGCTAATTAGTATACAAATAGTGATAAAGCAGCAAAGGACCGAGTCCAATGGCACCGCTATGGTTCTCTCAAATGAGAGGTCCCATGTTCGATGTCCAGCTCGGACAGTAAATTTATAAATTTCAATAGGTGGTAAATAGTGACTAAATTGGTCATTTTATGATGCAAGGACTAAGGAGTAACATATACTACCTTCTTCCACTATATTCGTCTACTTTTGACTTTTGGAATTGTTCATCTAAGCACTTTGACTCATCAAATTCTCTCAATGTATAAGCTTAAATATAGTCATGTGTGATCTTGTTTGATTTGTCTTCACATATAGATTATTAATATATAATTTCTATAATTTTTTAATATACAAATTACAAGATAAAATGGATTAAAGAAGTGTATTGGATGATGTGTAAAAATGAAAGTGGACAAATACTTTGAGACGGAGGGAGTATACAATATACCTGCTAAAAGATGAAAACATCTCCCCTAACAAGCGGGGGTAGACGAAGTTTAATATTCTTTCCCTCTCAATATAATTTTCTTACTTTCTTCGTATCAAAATAAATTTCTCAATTCTTTTTAAGGAATGAATTGCATCAATTTTAATCAAATATTTTGATTTTTTAAAGACAAAAGTAGGAGTATGTAAAACATTAAAAATATACCAAAATAGGAGTTTCATGTTTTTATTCTTAAAATAGGAGTTAAAATATATTTATCATGTCAATTATGAGCATATACATTATCAAAAAGTATAATGAGATATCTTTATACAATGTCACATTACCACAATACAAACTCTTATTTTGGGTATAAAAACATGGAGATCCTATCTTAGCACCTTCTTTATGTTTTACTCTTATTTATGATGATTTCTAAAATAAAAGTGGAATGTCCGCCCCATACCCCGCCCCGACATAGTAGTGAGTGTTTAAATTACGGCATAATCTTAGTAATCAGGCCAGGGAGGTCGTCTCGTATTTGGTGTGCACAAAAAGCTAGCTATCACATTGGATAAAACTTTCATACTGCCACTGTCAGGATTCAATATAATGACGTGTAATACTCCCTCTACACATAACTTTTTTTCTCACTTCCCTTTTGTATGTCCAAAACAATTTCTTCCAATTTCCTTTTTTTTAGAAAATCTTATATCCTACTCCCTCCGTCCCAAATTATTTGCCACATTTGCTTTTTCAATAGTCGCGGGAACTTTTGTTTATTTCTACGTTTTTATTGGTTATTTGATAAAATAAAATATTCTTGACACCTCTTATTTCGAAGAACTTTTCATGTAGTTTTTTGATATGCAATTTTTATTTTTTATTTCTTTACCAATATGTAAATAAAATGAATTGAAAAAACTTGATATTTTGCCTCGATAATAGAAATGTGACAAATAATTTGGGATGGAGGGAGTAAATTTTTTTACTATCTCTATTGACTACTACCCTATCATCACCCACTTTTAGATCTATAAATTTACTTTTTTAATTTGTTTTTTTGTTTCATCTATCTATCGCATCTCCACTATTAATCTAAACTTTCAACTTCATTCGCTTTCTCTAAATACCCAATAGCAAAGAAGAAAATTAAAGTCAAAACAATTTTTACTTATAAAATATGCGTGCAAAGTCAACATGAGAAGTAAATCCTCAGATGTAACGTTAGGCCATGAGGGGGTCACATTGTTTGTTTTGCACCCCTCACATCGGCGGATTAATGTGGGGACGACACCACACCACTTTAGACTACTATGATGAAAATTCTGTCGCCTAAGACTTTTCTTGTAATTTTCCTTTCATGGTGGTTTCGTGAGAGTCACAATTTTCACATCAAAATGTAGCCGATCATGCATATATGGTAGGTATATATATAGACATCCCTGACCATAACAGGTTTTTGACATGCAATGTGGTGGGTGCCCTACAACAAGTCGAGGTTTTTGAGCGTTAGAGATACAAGGGTGCCCTACTATGTTATACTCTCTCCCACCCTGAAAATTTTTCTCCTTTCTTTTTCATCCGTTCTCAAAAACACTTTTTATTTCTATTAAAAAGTCATTTTTAACTCTTACTTTTTCATACCCTACCTATCACATCATACCTTTTTACTAATAATCTATCCGTCAAATTCTACTTTTACCCATCACATCAAAGGATATTTTTATGAATTCAATACCAAAATACACTCCCCTTAAATCTCTTCAAAATCAAAAAATCCCATGTTTAAAGGGACGGGGGAGTATATTTTAGTCCCTGGATCCAAGGGGCGGAGCCCCTGGCTGGAGAGTTCGAAAATTTTTATTTTGGACAAAGTGTTATGTTAAAAATTTATTTGAATTTTTAATTTTTCGAATTTCTTTGAAGGAAATTTTTTGAAAAAGGATAAGCACCGTTTTCTCAAAATCGAGCAAAGGGACGCACGTTTTGGACGAGAGACACGACCGCCGCCTTCTTCCCTTCCGCGGCTCTATAAATTCCGCTGATCCTTGATCGCCAAAACATAGTTCGAAAATCCACATCAATCCATGCTTGTTCTTGAAAAATTTGAGTTTTATCTGATTGATTTTTAGATTGAACAACCAAAATAATCAATTTGAAAGTGCTACACGACTCTCAAATTGATCCGCATTACCTTCGTTTATCCCTAACACACTATACATTAAACAGGACTATGAAAACCGAATCGGTCCTAACTAGTTCGGCCACTACGTCCCAACTCTAACGTTTTTTTCATCTCTCAATTCTATTATACGAGTATATGTTTTCATTAACTCTTCTAGGATATATTGAAATAGCTCCAACGTATTAGCGTGACCTTGTATTAAAAATTAAAAATGATCCCACAAAGGTTGCGTTTTGTATTAATTTGGAAGATGCTAACTTAAATTTAGCATCGTTGGATTTAGCATCACCTCACGCTAGATGGACGCAAGCCAAACACTGCGTCACAGATTTTCTCTTGTAGCATGAATTTTGGCCCACGCATGTTGTAGTGTACGGGTACTCAATGTATAAGTATTTATCGTTCCAACTAATCCATAAAAATAGATTGATCACATCCATATAATTAAGTTGAATTAAGCTAGGGGTACACCAACATGGGGTACCCCAAGTGTACACCAAAGCCAACACAGACACACACAGACACAAAGTGTCTGTGTTGCACAGACATTTTGTGTCTGTGTGTGTCTGTGTTGGCTTGGTGTACACTTGGGGTACTCCATGTTGGTGTACCCCTAGCATTGCCCAATTAAGTTACATCATCCATATTTGACGCCCTTTTTGTAAACCACGGAGGGCACCCATGCTATTAACCCTTATATACTTGAATATGTATTTTGCCAATATTCTTTCTCCGTCCTGTAATTAAATATTCTCCCTCCATCTCAATAAAAGATTTTACCTTAGGCTTGACAAAATAATTAAAATTATATGGTTACGTTTAGAAGGATGCAGAAAAAAGAAAATTTATAGCGCTCACAATTTTTTTTAAAGTGAAAAGTAAAAACTTTTTTTGGGACAGCAAAAAAGAAAAAAAATGTAGAACCTTTTTGTGAGACTGATGAGATAAATTTTAGAGCAAGGATCTTTTGATACTCCGATTCCTTCGTCACAAAAAGATTATTGTAGGGGCAGGTATCCGTAAGAATGGACCTTGGTGAAAGTAAAAAAAATGATGCATTTTTCATTCGCTATGGTGCATTTTACAAAGCAAGTAGTTCACCATGCTGCATTTTACAAAACAAGTAGTGCATTTTACAAAATTCAATTTAATTACAAAAATACCACCGCATTTTTCCTTACTTTTTTCTTATTTTTTAAATTTTTATGGTCCTTACACTACAAGAAAAATGTGATTTGAAGACACTTAAAAAGAGTCATCTATTATATACAAGGACACTCAACAAAAGTGTCCTCTATCAAGGAGTCATGGTATGTCCAAAATAAGGACACATACAAAGTGTCTTCTTTTCTATACGAGGACACACCAAAATCTCTTCAAAATGTATCCTTAAATCCATTAGAGGACACCTAAAATATGTCCTCACATTATTTAGAAGTTGTCTTCTATTCCATATTAGGACACTATATACGTGTCTCAAAACAATCTAAAAGATGCCCTTAGATTCATACAAGGACATTCTTTGTGTGTTCAAAGAGCTATAAAAAACAGTTCATAAATCAATAAAATGACATTAATATTTTCAATTCTATATTTGGAAAATATTATTTATTAAAAGAAGAAATTAAGGTACAAAAGGGAGGACCAAACCAAAGCCCCTCAAGGAAAAAACTACAAAAGTTTATAAGAATTATGTCTTAGAAAAAGATAATTCTGAATATACACAGGCCAACTAGGTTAAAAAGATAACAGATAAGCACTTGAGGGCAATCCATGCAGCAGCTTCTCCCAAATCAATACTTGTTCCAGCTTCTCCGAGATCAAAACTTGTTCTAGCTTTTCCCAAATGAGCATTTGTTGCCCCAACTTCACCTAGATAAAAGCTTGCTGCCTCCCAAGTAGAACTAGAGTACTACTGCCCCATGGATCATCAATCCTACATCTTATTAACCCATCAAGAATTGTGTCACCACTATTAATAATAAATTTGAACAAAAAATGTGAAAGCATGAGTTACCTACCTTAAGAGACAGAGTAGATGATCTTAAACTTGCATTCTGATAAGGTATGTTTGAATTTTTGCACTTACCACCTGGCTTAACATGGTGGAAGCAAGCCATAGAATACACGAGATGCCCTAAACACAATATCCTTAAGTCAGTCTTTACAAGAGTACCCATCTCTTCATGTATCATGTATCATTATGTCCTCGTCAAAATGAAAAAAGTGTAGAGTAAGGGAGGGATTCAAATAATTATTCTCCATGGACAACACTTTTAAAATGTTCAATTCTGATTTGTAAATAAGGAGAAATGCTATCTGAAACATGGATAAAAGTTATACATATTTTTTACCATATCTAGATGCCGAATAATACCCCTAACCTCATTTTTGGTCCATAGTTACAATAGTGGATCCAGATAATATTCATGTATACGTCAAACCTGGAAAACATGACAATAGATGAGAATTTCCCCTTGTTTGCATGAAAGGTATTGGCAATTTGCTCTAGCAATGAATTAAATAAGAAGCTCAACCATATTCGATTTTAGTGACCCATAGCAATCACCCTCGAAAATGATGTACTACCTCGTGGTTGTAGAGTTGAGCAGTGTAGCAAAACTTGCCTAAATCAAGAGCAAGATACTATCTTACCACGTCCTCTGTAACCGTAGACCTCCCTTCATGATTTTTTTTTGTTTTTCACACAGCATATCAAAACTTTTATTTAAAAGGATTAACATTCAACTCTCATACATGTATATATGAAGAAAATTATGATCAAATACTCTTGGGATGTAAAGAGACAGGGAAAAGAGCAAACCGTGTTGTTTAGAAGAATTTTGTGAACGATTGAAGGCAGATTCATCATACTCCACCGTTGTTATCCACACCTAGAACCAATTCAGGATACGAAAAACTAAGCCCATCAGAGAATTGTAAAGTACCTTGACAAAGCACAACCAGTGATCTAAAAAGTGTTAGAATAGTGAGCACAACCATAATGCATGATAAAAAATGTGTAGAGTGGGTGGATACCTGCTTGAATGTACTAAGATAGGCCAAAATACACCCTCCAAACCACACACAATATTTCCATAATTTCCTCTAAGGTGGAGCAACCAACTTTTATTACAGCAACAAGCACTACAACACCAAATAATACATGGAATCTAAAAAATCATTTACATCAAAGAGAAGAATGTAGAATAATAGAAATTAATTCGTATAAAATATCCTAGCACAAACATAAATAATAAAGTAAACTAGCCAAAGAAAAACCTATAGCACAAAACACTAAAGAGAATCTAAACAAGCATGCCACACAATAAAATCTGATCTCATTTATTCATTGACCTCAAATAAAAAAATAAAAGTGCTTCAATTCAATAACAACACAACAAACACACACAACACATATAAGATTCGAAACAGCAACATTTAAAATCCTTAACAGCCCAATTCATAAATTCAATTGTTACAGGAACATATAAATCAGTTAAACCAAATATATAAAAATCAAACTATAAATTCAATTGTTACAGGAACATATAAATCAATTCAAACAAATTGTCAGAAATTACACAATCCAATTCATAAATTCAACAAGAAAAGGTTGTAAAATGGATTATTTGACCTAGATTGAGAGGTTTACCCTTGAATCCGTGGTACTCTATTCTATTTTGACTTTGTAGCTAAAAAAATTCAACCCAGCGACTCTGTTCTTCTTGCGACATTACATCTTCTAGATCCGTCGTTTCCTCGGGCTTAGCTTGAGGTTGTGCTCAATAAAGAGGGCAAGCTTTGTCAGACTCTCTCTCGCATCTCAGATCATAGACTCTCTCTCTCTCGCATCTTAGATCACATATCTTCTCTTGCATCTATAATCAAAGGCTCTCTCGCATCTCGGATCTCAGACTCTCTCTCGATGAAGAAAGAAGAAAATGAAACCGGTACGGGTCTGATAAGGATGGGCTACTACGCAACTGCTCAAAAGCCCAACAACGGGCTAATTAAATTAGACATCTAGAAGTGTCATTAATAACTTTTAAGGACATTTTACAAATTAGGTGTCATTAAATCATGTCCTTGTATCCCAGTTTTTTAGTAGTGTTAGATCTCATACTCTAATGCACCACATGCATATGACATGAGTTGGAGTTAGGACTGAGTGGGGGTTTGCTGAGAGAATTAAGAGGTAAAAACTAGCCATTTTACGAAAGCACCATAAGGGTTCCAATTGAGTCGATGTCCTCCGCAGCTAGTCTAAAGGAGTGGCTACAGAATCGGCCCGATTTTTTTCTTTGACATAAAGTATCTATGAATGTCTTGTTTAAAAGTGTCTAGAAGAGAACAAGTATAGTTGAAGGCAAAATTAGTATCAACTTGACAATATGCTTATCGGCTTCTAGCTTGTTGGATTTCAAGTTTGCCCAAAAGATTGGGAGGAGACAAATAATACTACTAACTTTTATAAGTGTAGGAAACACATTGTCACATTGGCAGCAACCAAAAACAGAAAAGTAGCTTGTTAACATTCTTAAGAGTAGTTTCATACTCCGTAATTCATGGAACCCAAAGAATATTCAGCAGTAGCCGAACTAGCTGCAATAAACAATTCAAGGCAGGGAATATTTAAAATAAATCATTTATAATTTTAAAAAAAAACTCACATCTATAAACCTCACACACACTTGAAGAGCAACATATCATACAACAATATACGAGTATTATATTTGAAACCATATGTCTATATACAAACCAAAAAGTGCCACCGAAGTGTGAGAAACCATTAAAAACAGAGGTTTCGTCAATCCTCCTTGCAACCATCTGTAGCAGGTCTAGCTTCGAAACCGCCACCATCCCTTGGCTCAAGTTTGTAAGGCATGTAGGTGCCAAGAATTCTATCCCACATCACGAAGAAAGGTTGCGAGAAGTTGTATTTGCTGCCATAAAACTGGTGATGAATGTCATGGTAAGCCGAGTTGTTCTTGAAGAAGATGTGGAAGAGGTTCCCGGGCAACCATAGTCCACAGTGATCATCCACTGTCTTGACAGTGGCAAAGGAGAAGAAGAAGATTGAAACCCTAGGAGACATGCCGGAGGCGAGGAAAGCCATGGCCCCACCAACTGTGTCAAGAATGAGACCCTCTAGAGGGTGGTTGTACAGGGCTCCAAAAGCATAAGGGACAACAAGCCGGTGATGCTGAGAATGGATTTGGCGGTACAGAAACTTGTTTTGATGCATGTATCTGTGCATGAAATATTGCCACGTGTCTAGCACTGCCATAGCAATGACGAATTGCCTTATGAGAACGACAACAGATGACTGTTGCTGATCCACAGCAGCCTCACTATCATTTGTGGTGACCTGCTCATAAACACATGTTTAGAAAATGATAACCAAAAATCATTTGTGGTGACCTGCAAACACACACAAACAGGTGACACGAACTGAGACGGTGCAAGACAAGTAAATGTGCAGCACAATAGTCCCAACTAAGAACATATAGCTTCATTAGAAACAAATTCATTGATAGACATTTTAGGTTCTATGAGCACTTTAGACTTTTGGATGGTGAAAACTGGTTTTCATTTTTTCTCCTCTTTTCAAATGCATGAATGTAGTTGTGTAAAGGAGAAGGAAATTAATGTCATGGACCATCCATATAAAATGCAGTGCAATCACATGGGGAACCCATATAGGAGAAAACCAGCTTGTCATTCAGCTGCAGTTGCATTATGATATGGCAAATGATATAATTGTCAGACCAAAATGATTTTCTGTGGATAGCCTACGAAGAATGAAGAAGATTGCCTCATGTACGTTAAGGGGCCAGAAGGTGGATTTTACTCAAACTACAGTGCATGTCCAAGACAATGTCAAACTGATTGATTAACCAACCGCCAAGTAAAACTACAAACGAGTTACATTAACCACCACAAGCAATGCCTAAATAATAATGTGTGATTGTGTTGCACATAACCCATAAAAGCCATAAGAGGTTAAAGGTACGGCATATTGAAGTAGAAACTATCAATTCTTAAACCTTAAAGACCTCTTCAGTCATACTTCCTAGGATCAGTCTCTCTTATTAGTAAGTGCATAACTTAAATGGCTTAATTAATTCAAGGCACTTAAGGGTGACAATTGACAAACCTTCATGAATCACTAAGATATACAAAAAAGATCTCCTGGGCTGCATACAACATTCATCCTAAACTAGAAGTCAGCGATCATTTTGGAGTGCTCTACTACACAATGGAAAAACTATATGATTTCCAAAATAAACTTGGCCAGATCCCTTATTAAAATACAAAGCTATTACAGACTTCTTCAGCCATACTTCTAAGATAAAAAAATTCAGATGATCATTAATTCCATACATTACTGATTTAATGTCTGTTCTTCTAAAAAAGTCCGGCATTCAAGAAATCTAAAGTAATTCAAACAACTCTTCTACAAGAAATTACCTGACAGTATCAACAGCTAGAAGAGTGCAATACTTGAGAGTTCAGAATAAGGATAAACGGGGTAACAAATAATTGAAGTACTTACATGCAATGATTTAATGATGATAAAGAATTTTTTGATGAGAGACTCAGACTTGTACTTCTAATACATCTAATTTATGAATTAAATAACCAAACATCCAAAAGGGTTATTTTGTTCACATGTGTGCATGTATTAATGAATAACATGTACTAACATATACCCAGTAATATGTAAGAAATACTTTACCAAAACTACAACATCCAGCAATGCCAAATTTATAATTTTCAAATGACTTTTCCTAAATGTGCTCGCGAATTTCTTACATTTTCACTAATGCCAGGGCATTCGTCAGATTTGTAAATGCAGTTTAGCAAGATTCATTCACAAAATGAATATTTCTAATACTCTTTCTATAATCTCAGATGTTTCTTTAAGGCTTTCTTTTCCTTTCTGATTTCAAAGATCTAAGGAGTAAGCCAACCTCCCTTCCTACCAATTCACACAAATCATTTAAGGCAAATAAGCAATGAAAACAGACTACACATCTTTTCCCTTCCACCAAAAGAAACAGGTTTTAGACGGTACAAAATTTCATGTTTAGCAAAAACAAAATCTCAAGCAAGTAAACTGAAACATAACTAGCAACTCATTCATACTGATGCCTCGAAGAAGCAGAGACTATTCCTTGCGTGCAACGAATCAATGAAAATTTCAAAAACTTGCAAGTTAATGTTCCCCCGTTGGATTTAAATTTCCCTTAGCAGATGTTACATAATTGGTAAAATGTAGCAAACTATCCATGTAATGCAGGGGTGAATTTAAAAGTAAGCACGTCTAATCCACCATCTAACTTTCACTCATATGATTACTCCTTATAGCTTATTTTCAAGAAAAAGTAATAATTTGCGCATACAAAAACAAAAAGAAAATTAAAAGAAGACATTTTTATAGTACAATAGCAATAACAACCCAGAATTGAACAATCCCATGAAAAGCAGGGTTTGAGAGGTTGTTTCCAAAGAGACTCTTTACAGTAAAAGGATAAAATTTCAGCATAGAGCCCACAACATTTTCTGCAAATGCATTCAATCTTGAAGCTTACCGCAAAGAGGATAGTGGCAACAATGGCCTGCACAGCCTGTTGGAGAATCACACCTTTGACAACTTCCTTCTTATTGACCAAATTCTTCTCATCTTCCTCTTTCTTCGAATGCAACCTGTAATTCTCCAAACCTCCCAACAATGAATACAAACCTGAGTACAACCAATACACCACTATGGGCACAAACGTTCCTAGCATTTCATCCGATACATATCCTCCCCTCGCATTATCCTCCATCGCAATCACACGCCTTCTCCCTTCTCTATACTGATTTATACTCCGTATGTGTTTTTTTATAAAAGTCGGAGCTAGGGTTTCGTGGTAGATGAATCGATTACCAGGAATGAACTTTCAAGCAATCAGACTCCGTACAATGAGGAAGAATGAACAATAAGGTCAAAAAATGGCGCTGTACAAGATTCTACGTTATGATCGATTGATCGGTCTTTTCTGAAGCTTTGGAGGACGTCGAACTGTAGAAAGGGGAAGGCAAACAATGTCTCCAGCCATATCTGAAGTCTCAACTAACAACTAGGAAAGGCTTGGGTGGCAAATGCACGGTCCGAATTTTTCTAAAATTGTGTTTTTCAAAAAGACGAAAAAGTACTTTCGAAAATAATTATTTTATTTAACTTTTCTTAGTTAAATTTGTAAATTTTAACTCCGATAAATGGAATAAATAGGAGTCTGGTGTGACGTAAGAGTACGCGTTGCTAATGTAATGAAAAAGGGATAACAGAGTAATATGACAGTCTGATTAGTCAATCATAGACGATCTACGACAGCACTCGAGTGGCCGATGGGCGACACAACAGATCGATGATGGTTTGACAGTATGTGGTAGTTGTAATATGACAATGTGATGAATGTGACTAATGACTTATATCGTGATACTCTCTCCGTCCTAAATTCATCTTCCCGTTTGGTATTTTTAATTCAATTTATTTGATTGTAGGTGTAAACTTAAAAAATAAAATTTATATATTTAAAAACTAATCAAAAGTTCTACAAAACAAGAAGTGACAAATATTATTTTATCAAATAACTAACGAAAATAGATAAAGAAAGTGATTTAGGTTTGACTGTATGAATAGTAACTGTGAAGATAGTATTAGGACGGAGGGAGTATTTTCATATCGGAGTACGCGATATGTTGTAATGTTGTTTTACAAAAAACATTTATATGGAATTGTCGAAAAATATTCACAAGTTTTGTAGTATCATTTTTAAAAAATACGAGTAAATAATAGTATAGTATAAAAAAATTTGAAGTGTCGCTCAAGAATAACAATACAACTTACAAAAAAATGTAGTGAGTTATGAATTATTGGCTCCATTGTATAGAATAATTTATATTTCAATTATTCCCAAATTATCGATTATTGAAAAAATAACTAGTTTCACTCTAAAAACACTTAAATTTCGTAGAGTATTATTTATAAAATCATTTTTAAAAAATACACTTAAATTTAATGTTAGAAATTAAAAAATGAAAAAAGAAAATTTACCTAAAATAATCTCTTCTTTCATTTATTTGCGAAAAATATGTATTTTCCAAAATTTATGTTAAGTGGTCATTAGCTTTTTAGCGGCGAACTCGCACGTACACATGCAAAAAGTAAAATTATTTCCGGTGATAATGAAAAATAGGATTAATTGTGAAGAATGCAAAAAGATGAGATTATTTAAGATGATTTTTCGCATGTTAAATAACGGATGGGATGTTAAATAACAGAAGATATCTTAGTTCCAATTAAGTAACTTGTTACGAGTATTTTTTATGTTCCAATTTTTTGGAGTAAATTCCCAAAATAGTCATTTGTAATAAGAGATTTTCCCAAATTAGTCCTCAATAAGTTTTAATTACCTACATGGTCCTCTATAATTGAGATTTATTCCCAAAATAGTCCATTGTAATAAGATATTTTCCCAAATCAGTCCTCAATAAGTTTTAATTACCTAGGTGGTCCTCTATAATTGAGATTTATCCCCAAGATGGTCCTTCATAAATAATGTTATTCAAATGAGGATTAATTAAGGTTATTTTTTCTCTGCTAAATTTAGAATTAATTTTTAAAATAATCATTTATAATGAAGTGCTTTCCCAAAATGGTTTTTCTAATTAAAGATGTGTATTTGAATTGAAATTTAAAAGATTTTTTAAGTTTTAAATAATTCATAAATTATTTATGAGTAAATTCTCAAAATGATCCTTTGTAATAAGGTGTTTTCCCAAATCAATCCTCAAATGAGGATTAACTGGGAGATATTTTGGTATTTTGATAATCCAAATTTAAAGTATATTTTTGAAACAATCATTTCTGTACAATTAAATGTAAAATTTAAAAAATACATTGAGTATAAATAATTTATGAATTATTTAAAACTTAAAAAAATCTATTAAATTTCAAATCAAATACACATCTTTTTTTTAAAAATCATTTTGGGAAAGCACTTCATTATAAATGATTATTTTAAAAATTAATTCTAAATTTAGCAGAGAAAAAATAACCTTAATTAATCCTCATTTGAATAACATTATTTATGAAGGACCATCTTGGTGATAAATCTCAATTATAGAGGACCACCTAGGTAATTAAAACTTATTGAGGACTGATTTGGGAAAATATCTTATTACAAAGGACTATTTTGGGAATAAATCTCAATTATAGAGGACCATGTAGGTAATTAAAACTTATTGAGGACTAATTTGGAAAAATCCCTTATTACAAAGGACTATTTTAGGAATTTACTCCAATTTTTTGTATTATTTCATCATTTTACATTGGTTTAAAAAATTTAGACTCGCTACTCCTGAACTCCCGTACAATTTTTAGTTCCCTTTCCATTCAACAGAATTCGCGCGCCCCAAATTACCTTTCACTCTGGATTTGCCATCGTTCAAAACTTCAAATTATTCCATACTATAACTAAAAACACAATCAAGCTCCTTCAACATTCATTCTAAAATTAAAATCAATTAATTTGAAACACTTACTAAATTTGGAGTAAATACACTATTAGTAGATAAATTAACCAATATTAAAGTTTTAAATCTATATATGGATTTTGTTAAGGGAAGTATAATGGACTTTTTAAACATGGCAATTAAATTAAAAAAATTAAAGAAAATGATAAAATTGTCACTTTTTGTAACAGTAGGTACGGAGTATATACGGAGTGCGTGATAATATTACTATATGAGCATTTATCTAAAAGAAATTACTATATGAACAATTATCAATTCAAGACAATACCAAAACTTAAATTTTAGTTCCTATATATTATTTGCAATTACCAATTAACAATGGCATCAATACCAAAATTAAATTCTTAGCCGCCAAATTTCAAATGCCTTCAACAAAGATGATTGAATCAAAGCATCATTATATATACTCACCACCTATTGAATCAAAGCACCATATATTTCTAACTAATACTCCCTAATATATTAGTTAATTGATTAACAATGGCAAGAAGGAAAGTAAGGTTGGCCTACATTAGCAATGAAGCACAAAGAAAGGCCTCCTATAAAAAAAGAAAGAAGGGATTGTTAAAGAAGCTCGAGGAGCTAACAATCCTATGCAACGTCGAAGCATGCGCAATCATGTATAGTGCCTTTGACACAAAGCCAGTCGTGTGGCCCTCAGTCGAAGGGATGCAACACACTGTTGCCCGGTTCAAGAGTCTCCCGAACGTCGAGCAGACGAGGAGGATGCTGAACCAGGAGAGGTTCGTGCAGGAGAGGATTCACAAGCTGAGCACCACTCTAATCAAGTTGAGAAAAGAGAACCGGGAGAAGCAAATGATCGTGCTAATGTATCGCATCCTCGTCGGTGAGCACATTATCGAGCCCTTGAATGCCATGGATTTGAACGATTTAGGTTGGGTGATTAACATGCACTTGGTAGAGATTAATAACAAGATTGAGGCGATCAAGAAAGAGGATGGTGCCTCTCCATCAATCCAAGGATGGGATTCTGGTAGAGATACAGTAGCTATAAACATGTCCAATATCCTTATCGGGTCTTCTTGTAGAGGTGTGGTGCCTCCAAGCATGTTTAATTTCCAGGGCGGGGCTTCTAGCAGCAATGCAGTGGCTCCAGACATGTTCAACTTAATGGTTGGGCCTTCCACAGGACATGCGATGCCTCCAAGCATGTACAACTTCCAGGATGGGGCTTCTAGTAGCAATGGAACGACTCCAGACATGTTAAACTACCAGGTAGGGGCTTCTGGAAATCGTGTTGTGGCTCCGAGCAAGGTAAACTTTCAGGCTGGGATTTCAAGAAATAATACAGAGGCTCGAGGCGGGTTCAACAACCAACAAGAGAAAGAGGAGGAAGCTCATATTAATGTTGTAGGCCTAAATCATTTGTTTCCTATGTCTAATAATTAAACTCCAATGATGGTGTGTAGTGGGCACATAAGACGTAGGCTTAACAAATGAAGATGATGAGCAAACACTACTACAATCAAAATGATTCAAGTCAAGTGATGCCCTATGACCTCCAAGAGTCCTTGAATGAAATTGGAATCATTGTATCATTTGGTCCTTTTCTAAAATGATTTTTCATGCGTTATATGCCTGCTTTTATATTACACTAGTCGCTAGATTTATATGTTAATGCAGTAAATCTAAATACGGAGTATAACAGAATGGCATATTAAAACATGGAAAATCAATCAAAAAAATTGAATAAAATTAAAACTATTACTATTTTTGTAACAATAAGTACAGAGTGTCAGAGTGTATACATTATATTATTACTATATCAGCATTTATAATTTAATGACGATACCAAACCCCATATTTTATTCCTTTATTAGCAATAAGCAATTAATAATGACATAAAAATTCACATTTAACTCTTAGCCTTCAAATATCAAATGCAAGTATGCAACATGCTGTATCTAGAAGCCCTAAAGACCAATCTAGTTTTATTATATATAAATACTTATCAAAACTAAAATATCCTAAATATTGTTTATGCATCTCATGTATCTAAAAGGCCTTGAATATTGGTACAAATATGAAGGCTACAACATCCTAATTATAAGGGTGTTACATTTCAAAGAGGTTATGACTAAAACATCTCTAGTCAAGAATTGTGATAATATGCACATTACAATATATCAAGACTAATACTTATGGCTATGAGACATAATAGTTATGTATTATAAGCTATAGATAATAAGTTTCTTAATCATCACTTAAGTATATATGGTACTAGGTAATATGGTACTAGATTGAACCGACCATGAAAGTACTACACGGGTCTTACAAAAATGTGTTACTGGTGCTTTCAATCAATAGTACTGTATACACCTGTGTGCTTTGATAAAGTTTTAGTGCCATTTAAAATAGAAGTGATCATATAATTTTTTGGGCATGCAACTAGGTATTTGTAGATATATGAATGATGTAAACAAAATTTATCTCTTTATGTATAGAAGTATAATGTCTATGGGTCCACATAATGTTCACGGTGATGCCCAGATAAGTTGATGTATGACATTAACATTATTTGATTCGTGCAAGTCTACTTGAAAATCAGTAAACCAACGAATTAGAAATACAAGGTTACATGTCTCATCCCTTGTTTTAAATCACAACATTATGATAAAAAGATAAGATTTATACAATATCATGCGTCGTAAGGCTTATTGTTGCAATGAACATCATGTTTATAAGTTGGATATTAAAAATGCTTAAAAATGTGTTGCTAGATATCGCTCATTCCTTATGATGCTAATTTGAATTATTAATCTTGTTACCGACGTTATAGATATTTAGAATGGGTCACACACAAAGGACAATAGTATTAATATAGTTAGTGAACCAAGAACATTTATTTTTGAATTTTAAATGGTATGCCACATAGAAAAGTCAAGTCATTTTAATATTACATACTTAGGCTATGTTCAGTCCAGCTGTTTTTATTTTTTTATTTGATTTTTTGAAGATTTGGTTTAATCTGATCTGAGTAGATCTTATCTAGTCTTATCTGATTTCATATGATCTGATCAAATTACATGTGCTCTGATTGATTTTGATCTGATCTAATTAAAATCTGATCCGATCTACTCTCATTAGATCTGATAAGACATAATCTAATCTAATTTGATCTAACTTGATTGGATATTATCTGATTTGAATGGATCTTATCAGATCTATTCCAAATAAAAGTAAAAATTATTGCAATAACATTATTATTATTGTTGTTGTTGTTGTTATTATTATTATTATTATTATTACTATTATTATTATTATTATTATTATTATTATTAAAAACTTCAGAATAATCCTAACTTTAATTGATCTTTCAAAAATAATCACATCTTTCATTGTGATGCATAATAATCCAATCTTAAATGAAATGTGCGATTTTTTGGTCGGCGTCAATTAAGCTGCTAACAATTAGTTAACGAGATCGACATATTTGTTGGAATATGTGCCCTTCTACTATATATTGGGGGTGAATGGTGAGGCACAAAAATGATGAAAAATAATCACGGAATAAAAAAATGTCAGGAATTAAGTAAAGTACAGAAAAAACAAATAATGACACAATAATTTTTATATTGGTTCACCACAACTTGTGGCTACGTCCAGTCTCCGAGAAACTCTCTTGAGTTTCCTACAAACCTTGTTAAGCTTACGAGTTCTTAACAAACCATTTACAACCGCTCGTGGGTGTACCCTCTACAAGACTTCAACAGCTCAGACTCCTCGCCCAAGACTTCACACCACTCGAACTCCTCACCCAAGATTTCAACCAGTAAGATTATCGGTTCTAAGTAAACCCAACGCTTGATGAGAAGATATGCTCTTCTCAAACATCTCTCTTATGATATGAACTATCTAGGAAGAGTGAAAAAAGAGTTACTATTACAAATGTGATGGTACGGATCACAATGGACAGGGAAGATGAACGGTCCCGGAAGAAATTAAAATAAATCCGAATTTATAATCTATTCAGATTAATTACAATAAAAATAAAATAAAAATAGCTTTCGATCTTCATTAGCCTTATTTCATAGTGAAGACTTTGTGCACTTAATTGAAGTAGTGAATTGGGACGTCCGTTACACTATGCTCCTTTTGAAATTTGTCTCAAATAATTGGGGATTAATGACCAGTTAACTCCGTAAAAATGGACTAATTTTAAACATTGCGTAAAAGTAATAAAAGATTGGTTCAATAAAAATATGCATGTGCATGCGTCAACCATATTCTTCTATTTTAGCGGACCAATTTTGAGAATCAATTTCTCAGTTACCCTTTTATTATTTTTGGCATATAATATATCAAAATATTTATTTATCTCTTTTTAAATGAACATGTGTCCAATAATTAACGGTTAAAACCGTTAGTGGACCTATTGATAATTATGTCCAAAGGTTGTACATTTAATACATATTAAAATTCCAATAGTTACAACGAAAGCTCTATGAATAATACAAAGTTATCCCTCAAATGGCTCAAGAAAAGGTTTAGATTTTATGCATAAATTTTATGAATATAATGAAGAAGAATGAGAGGTGTTGTTCATATAAAAACAATGCCAAAAGCCTCTATTTATAGGCTAAAAAGGGCCGCGACCGTTACTCGTTCATTGGGAATCAACCAAACAATAAATAAGTAAATTTAAAATGATTTGGTCATAACTTTAGGTTGCCAATCGATTGTCTAAAGGCGATAATTGATTGTTGGCTTTAAATTTGCCTCAACGGTAAAAAATCTAGCCATTATGAGCAATGCATACATTGATAATCAATTATCATTTTATGAAAATCGATTGTTAAGCATTGCAGGAGTTTAATGTAGAAGTATGAAACTATAATATGATAATCGATTACCATAATATGATAATGAATTATTTACCTCTCTCAAGTTTCTAGGCAAAAATCAGGAATATACCGATGTCAAAAAAGGTCGGCCAACAATCTAAAATTCCCCCCAAAAAAACTAATTACCAAAAACACTTGTTTATGGTATATAAATTAAAAGCAAATTCATAAATGAAAAAAGGCAAGCCTATGGTGTCAAAAGCCACAGAGCATCCTAGTCAAAGACCAATGTCACAGGCTATGACCAACAACAATAAACCACGATTGATTTTTGAATGACCAAAGTTTAAACCTATTCAAAAGTTCTTAAAAGCAAAAGCCACAGTTTAAAACTCAAAAACATTTGGCTAAAAACAAAAACTATGGACACGGACCAAAAACAAAAAGTCGATTGTCAGAAGTCAATTGCCATGCCGAAAGCCAGAAGCCAAAAGTTAAGTCTTGGTTTATTTTCAAAAGTGATTTTGGGTAAGATACAAATTTGAAAAACATGAGTTTATGCATATGAAAAATGACTTTAGTTGAGACAAAAGCTAAGATAACTTCAATGTTGATCTTACATTGAGTTCTACCTAATGACCTACGTCTTGGGGTCTTTGGTCTTGAACTCCCGAGCACTTCTTTGCTTGCTTTTGTTATCTTGGCACAATCTTCACTTCAAGCACGCATTCTTTGTCATCAACACATGCTTTTCTTCATTGTTTGTCAATAAAGCATCTTGAATTCATTATTTGTCATTCATCAAAATGTACATTTAAAAATCATGCTAAAATACAGATGCACATATTAATGATTTCTACATGGGGTATAAGATATTTTGCATAACAAAATGAAAGTTTGAATTATTTTTGATAATTTTTTTTGAAATTTTCCCTTAAGTTTAAAAAATGACGTTGCACCTCCGATCCATTTCTTTTTCTTTTTTAATAAAATTAGTCTTACAAAATAAAAAAATAGATACAAAAAATAGCAAAAATTTGAAACACAACTAAAATCACATTTTTTCTTCCTTTATTTTCTTTTTGGGAAGGTAAATTGTGCCCATGGAGCACAAAATTACTGCTGGAGAAGAGTTGTGATATTTTATTTACTCGCAAGTGCACAAACCGTACGAAAGTATAGCAATGCAAATACGAGGTCGATCCCACAGAGACTTGAATTTGATTTTTACTCATGATTTATTCAATTTGATCGACCTCGTATTTACTCATGGATTGAACTCATCTAAAAATTAACCCTAATAATCAATTGGAAAAATAGACAATAAACATTTAAGATCAATATGGAAAAATAAATCATGAGTAAAAATCAAATTGAATATATGAGCTCCATCCTAGCCCTAGCTATGGAGTTTAGCCAAACATTATGTAAAATTCAACAAAATTGATAGTAGAGCTTGACAAAATAAAGAAGAAGGGAAGAATTAAACTCTGAAATTGGAGGAAGAAGATGGACCCCAGGCTGCTGCTCCAGAATGCCGCCGATTGAAGCCGCCGATCGTCTCTCCTCTGCTCTCTTTTTTTCCGTTTCCAGCTCCCCTCTCACTTTATATCCCTCTTCTTCTTTTTTCTTTTTTTTTTAAAGGTTTTATTTAGTTGGGTTGAGATAAGATTTGTATAGCAATTGGATTTTGACTTGCACTTGAACTTTAAGTCTTCAATCCATTAAAGCTTGGCCCAATTCTCCATCTCTTGAATTTAACATCTATTTTTTTATTCCAAAAAAGTATATCTGAAAATACATATAAGAGAAATTAATTTCAACACGAAATAAAATAAAAACTTTATCCAACTTATGACTTTAGTGTAAAAATAAAACAAGTAGCCTAAAGAGCCAAATATTTCATTATACACTTTATTTTAACATAAAATGCATTAAAAATATAATAAAGAACTAAAGTATGACCAAATAAAATGTGACAATTTGTAACGTATCACTTAGGTTCAATTTCGTCAGTGACGAAAAAGAAGAACCATGTTAGGCATAGAGTACTTGCATGTACAAGGGACATATTTTATTCTTTTCTTGACGAGATTGAAATTATAATTCAATTTAACTACTCCCAGCCTACTGCCCGAACATGTACTTGCTGAGGGACTCCACAGATTGGGTGTTCAACAAGACAAACAATCATGCATCCCGTCTATAGCTAGAAAATCGGTCTGATCGAGTTTGATTTTGGTTATTTTAGGTTTGGGTTTCACCAAGTTCGAGTTTGAAACTATGAAATACACGTTCATGACCAATTTCATTGAGTCTGGTTCGATCCAATAGATTATGAAATTTATTTGTTAAATACTTAAAATGACACTAGCACTTCGAAAGTATATTTACATTTAAAATAACAACACGTCAATATATTCGAACTTCTAAATTATATATAGTATTTCTCTATTTTAACACTATTATACTCTAGTCATATCTTGTTTTTTAGTTTTTAGCCTAGTTTTTAAAATATATTTTTTGGTTTTAAATTTCACATCAATGTTCAAATAAACAAAATCAAAACTAAGTTCATTTTAACATATATCATAAACAAATATATGAAATTTATTTATATCTGAAGAAAGTATTTTGTTTATTAATTGAAAGTTTTGATATATACGCGGAGACAAAGATATTGAATAATGAAAGAATGTAATCATAAAAACAAAGATGAGAAATTTACTTAAATATGACTAAAACATAATGACTTTTCCAATATAGGACCATATGTTTTTATTTCCCAATGTAGGACTTTTGGTCATTATCAAGTAGTCATTATTTAAGTAAATGTCTAGCATTACCGGACATTATTCCTTCCACTAGGTAATTATTAAGTCCTATTTAGGAAATAAAAAAGTTTAAGTCCTATATTAGAAAAGTCATTATGTTTTAGTCCTATTTAGTGCAAATTTCACACTATGTTTCATAATTGTATTCACTTAAAGATGTCATACCAAAATATTATTTTCATATTTTCACGTCTTAATTTAGATGGCATACTTTTTTGTGTTGGAATTTCAAAGTTGGGTAATAGAAGAAATTGGAAGGAGTTGAAATAAATACAAAGAAATTTGAAAAACTAGGAGTTGAAAAAATTAGAAAAAATTGAAGAAATTGAAAGGAGTGGAAAACTAAAGAAGTTGGAAGAAACTGGAAGAAGTTGGAAAAAAATTGGAAGAAGATGAAAAATGTCGAAAAAATAAAAAAAACAAAAGAAAAAAGGGAAAAGAACTAAACTAGGGGTAAATCGTGGAGAAAGTATCAAAATAAGAATTCTAGTGCTCCACATTTTATCACCAAAAGACAAGTACAATACCAATAATGCCAGTACATAGTACCAAAAAATACAATGAGATGTCATTACACATTTCATTATGTCACAGTGCTAACTCCTTTTTTAGACATAAAAACATGAAACTCTTAATTATTTTAAGAATAAATACTATGTTTACTCTTATTTGGGGTGATGAAAAAATGTTGAAATGAGTATTGTCTCTTTGAAATTTTATATTTTTATTAAAATACTTTATAATTAATTTATTTGAATGTTCTCTTTCGGTTTTAAATAGCTCTAGTACCTCATGTAATTTGGAAATTGAGTACCAATAAATGTTTAGTTTTCAAAACTTATTTTTTAATTCCCGTAGTTTCAAAAGATTGAACACACACCCTCTTTAATTATCCGCCCGTTTTGGGCAAAGAGGATAGCATTGGAGAAAAACTAGGGCAGTACCGGAGCTCATTTCCCATTTTCATTTATTTTTTTCTTCCCTTTTCCTCTATTTTTTCCTTTTGTCTATAAAAGATATTCTAATTTATTTTTTAAATTTGTTTTTTAATAATGTTTTTAAATTTTCAAACTATTTGTGTTTCAAATAAAAAAATATTTCTCAAATAAAAAAAATATTGTTTCATTTTTCAGAATAAAAAGTAAAATCTTTTTTGGGAACTTCAAAAAATGAGTTATAAAATAAGAAATAATAAAAGGTAAAACCTTTTCTTAGACATCCTAATTATGAGTTTTTTAGATCACATCCCGAAAATTAATCATATCAGCACATTCAATAGTTACATTTTCCTCTTTCTAAATTTTTAATTTTTCTAATCTTTTTATCTATTTCGTTTTTTTATTCTTGATTTCTATAAGTTTCCTTTTTATTTCGTTTTTTCTATTATTCTTGACTATAAGTTTCCTTTTTATTTTGTTTTTTCTATTCTTGATTTCTTTTTTTGAACTTCCCAGAAAAAGTTTTCCTTTTTATTCTAGAAAACAAAATATTGAAAAGATTTAGGGACTGTTTGTTTCAGCCTCTTAATGGTTCAGATGTCTAAATGGTTCAGCACTTAATGGTTCAGACTGTTTGTTTCAGCCTCTTAATGGTTCAGATGTCTGAATGGTTAAGAGATTTGCTTCTGAATGATTAAGTATTATACAGAGTCTGAATGGTTAAGACCTCTTATCTGAATTGATCAGACATTTGCCTCTGAATAGTTAAGCAATATACTAGCTCTTAATGGTTCAGACCTCTTACTGGTTCAGCACTTAATGGTTCAGACCTCTTACTGGTTCAACACTTACCGATTCAGAAGTTGCTAAACAGCCCTTAGTTTGAGATATGTTGAGTATAAGTTAATTGTTTTCACTTTGTTTCTTTTTTATTTCAAACACAAATAATTTTCAAATTTTAAAATCTTACCCGAGTACAAAATATTCTTGATTCATTTAATAGAGTTTAAGTGACTTAACCATCAGTGTTTTATTATTCGCACTCTTAATTACACCATTAACGGAATAAAAAACAATATGTATGAAGGGCTCAAGAGCGCATGTTCTTTAGCACTTGAACTCTTAACATCCAGTTTCTTCCAGTTCTTCCAGTTCCTTCCAGTTTATTCCAGTTCCTTCCAGTTTCTTCCAACTTTTTTCATTTTCTTCAAATTCTTTCTACTCCTCAACCAATTACTCTAAAAATAATATATTTCAATGTGATTATTATTATTATTATTATTATTATTGTTATTATTATTATTACAACTGTTATATTCATAACTGTAGTTTATAAATTATTTTTTTCATATCACTATTTTTACGATTCAGACTTATTATTTTTATCTTCAACTTTTTAATATAAATAAGACATTTTTTTTGTATATTAGTCTACATGATAAAACAGGAAAACATCAATATGTTAAATTATACTAAAAAATTATGGATAAAGTAGTTACATTAAATGTTTTATTAAAATAACTTTTTATAAGACATCCCAGTTTTCCCTTTATTACTTAAAAATTGCTCATTTTTCTAATTTTTATAAAAAAATTGTAAGTCAAAAGAGTTTAGAGAAAAAGACTAAAATATGAGTAAAACATAAAAAATGTAAACAAAAAAGTTCTATGTCTTAATTCCAAAAATAGAAATTCAATGAAAATAAAATGTCAATCATGAAAGAAACAATAGGTTTGATTATGTGACATGTATGATATTTAAAACAAAATGTTTAATATATAAATTATAATTACAAATACTGTTGGCCATGTGTGCAGCAATTGTCCCGTGGCGGAGGCTAAAACTAATTGGTTTTAGAAGAGTTGGTAGCGCCTGAGGTCCTACAAATACATTATTTATAATAAATACTGCATAAATAAATTGAGGTGTAATATAACTACACAGCCTTTTTAAAATTTAATATTTTTATATTTATGCTAACTTTATATTATAATTATTTTTTGTAAAAGTAGTTTTTTGTATTTAAAAAATAACAATACCTTTTTTATATCTTAAAGACATTCACTAAGATAACGTGATGATGATGATGATTATGTTGATGATGATGATGATTATGATGATGATGATGATGATGGTGGTGGTGGTGGTGGTGATGGTGGTGGTGGTGGTGGTGGTGGTGATGATGATGATGATGATGATGATGATAATAATATTAATAATAATAATAATAATAATAATAATAATAATTTATAACAACAAGAATTTAAAATGAATATTTTTAAAGTTTTTTTTAGATTTTCCAGTTTTTTCCAGTTTCTTCCAGTTCCTTCTAGTTTTTTCTAGTTTCTTCTAGTTCCTTCTAGTTTTTTCTCGTTCCTTCCAGTTTTTTCTAGTTCCTTCTAGTTCTTCCAATTTCTTCCAGTTTTTTCCAGTTCCTTCCAGTTCTTCCAATTTCTTCCACTTTCTTCCAGTTTTTTCCAAATTTCTTCCAGTTTCTTCCTATTTTTTCCAGTTTCTTCCAACATCCAGCTCTTTTTTTACAGTCCTAAAGAACATGCCCGAAGTGGAGTAACGATTGAGTAATATACAGGTGGGGAAAGAGAGAATCTGATTATGGTAAACGACAGATGATACTCTTTGTCAAAATTAAGATATATTATGTAATATTTCAGCTATATATATGTAGTACACTACAATGGAGTTTTTTAGGGATGTACAGTGGAGTTCTTAAACATGGTAATTAAATAAAAACAATTAAAGAAAATGAAAAACATTGTCATTTTTTGCATTGTAACAATAAGTACGGAGTATATTTGGAGTATACTTTATATTTTTACTATATGAGCAATTTATCTATAAAAAAAATTACTATATTAACAATTACCAATTATGGATGACACCAAAACTTATATTTAATTCCTATATATTACTAACAATTACCAATTAATATTGGCATCAATACCCACATTAAATTCTTAGCCGCCAAATTTCAAATGCCTTGAACAAACAAATTGAATCAAACCATCATTATATATACTCACCACTAATTGAATCAAATCAAAGCACCATATATTTCTAACTAATACTTCTTAATATATTAGTTAATTAATTAACAATGGCAAGAAGGAAACTAAGGTTGACATACATCAGCAATGAGGCACAAAGAAAGGCCTCCTATAAAAAGAGAAAGAAGGGGTTGTTAAAAAAGCTCAAGGAGCTAACTATCCTATGCAGCGTGGAGGCATGCACAATCATGTATAGCGCCTTCGACACAGAGCCGGTCGTGTGGCCCTCGGTCGAAGGGATGCAACACACTGTTGCCCGGTTTAGGAGCCTCCCAAACACCGAGCAGACGAGGAGGATGCTGAACCAGGAGAGGTTTGTGCAAGAGAGAATTCACAAGCTAAGCACCACTCTAATCAAGTTGAAAAAAGAGAATCGAGAAAAACAAATGATTGCGCTAATGTATCGCATCCTTGATGGTGAGCACATTACCGAGCCCTTGAATACCATAGATTTGAACGACATAGGTTGGGTAATTAACATGCACTTGGTAGATATCAATAACCGGATTGAGGCAATCAAGAAAGAGGGTGGTGCCTCCTCATCAAGTATGGCCCAACCTATTGTGGATGATCATCAGTTAGTGGCTCAAGAAGTTCCTGTTTTTCATATCCCCATTGTAAGTACTGAGGCTTCAGGTTCTAAAGTACAACATGTTTTTCCCCAGCTTTATCAGGGCCTGATTGTTGGGCACAATGAAGTCCAAGCTGCTGGTTCTAACATTGGCACAATAGCTCCAGGGGTGTTCAACTTTCAAGTTGGTGGTTCTAGCAATTATGGGCTGGCTCCGGGAATGTTCAAGTACCAGGTTGGGGCTTCCAATAACAGTGTTCTAACTTTGGGCATGTTCAATAGGCAAGGAGGGGCTTCTGGTAGCGATGAAATAGTTACAAGCATGTTAAATTTCCCAACCGGATCTCCCAGTAGAGGAGTGGTGGCTCCAGACATGTTTACTTTCCAGGGCGTGGCTTCTAGCAGCAATGTGGTGGGTTCAGACAGGTTCAACTTTAAGGGTGGGCCTTCCACAGGATGTGTGGTGCCTCCAGCCATGTTCAACTTCCAGGGTGGGGCTTTTAGTAGCCATGCAATGACTTCAGGCATGTTTAATTACCAGGCAAGGGCTTCTCGGAATTGTGTTGTGGATTCAAGAGAGCTAACCTTCCACGCCGGGGTTTCAAGAAACAACACGGAGGCTCCAGACAGGTCCAACTACCAACAAAACTAAGAGAAGGATGCTCATATGAATTTTGCAGGCCTAAATCATTTGTTTCCCATGCCTAATTATTAGACTTTGATGATGGTGTGCAGTGGGTGTAAAAGACGTAAGCTCAACATATTAAGATGCTGAGCAAAAACAACTACAATAAAAAAGATTCAAATCAAGCGGTACCTTATGGCCTCTAAGAGTCTTTGAATGAAACTTGAATCGTCATATCATATGGTTGTTTTCTAATATGATTTATGTTACATTATATATCTGCTTTTATATGACGCTAGTTGCTTGATTAATGTCTTAATAAGGTAATACTAAATACAGAGTATAATACAATGGCGTATTCAAACATGGAAGTTAAATAAAAACAATTGAAGAAAATTAAAAGTATTGTTGTTTTTGTAACAATAAGTACAGACTATATGCATTATATTATTACTACATCTACATTTATCATTTAATGACGACACCAAACTCTATATTTTATTCCTATATATATATATATATATATATATATATATATATATTGGTTCTGTGAGAATGCGATCTTAGGAGAGAAATGAGAATGAATCTGATGCTTTAGATTGTGCGATCTAAGGGTCAGGATTGCATCAAAATTAGATGCAACAAAATGGTTTGAAAATGCATCACGTCGAAATGCATCATAATCCTTTGAAAATGCACTATCTCAAAATCTGAGCGCAGTATGCAATCTGAACCGCACGATGCATCAGATCCAACGGCTAGATTTCATTCTCATTTCTCTCCACAAGGTGCATTCTCACAGGAACCGGCCCATATATTATATATATATATATATATATATATATATATATATATATATATATATATATATATGGTATAAATTTCTCTGCGCTGAAACTTTCTCTCTCCTCTGCGCTGATCTGCTTTCTCCCGTTGTAGCCTGTAACGGCTCTTCCTCGAGGTAGTCGCCGGCGCGTCGGCCCTCAGCGTTTGTCCTCCCTGCCGGCGATGTAGACGGTCGTCGAACGACGGCGGGCGCCGGCGGACGACGGCTAGGAGCACAGGTAAGTACACACCCAGATCCAGACCTAACCCTCCCAAATCCGTCCCAGATCCGACCATAGACGC